TATTATATTTATTGAATTAATACATTTAATTGGTCATTGTCTATTTATTCTAACTGCTCCTGAATGCAGTAAATATGTACAGAATTTCATTGTTCATTGTAGACAGATTATTCATTAAAACAATATAGCTAAATAAATATTATTGCAAAATTATCAGCGATTTAATAATTTATCGCTTTTTAAAGTAAATATTTTTAACAAAATCCACTAATTATATATGATATAGAATAAAACAAGTCAATAAAACTATTACTTATTATAATGTCACATTTATTTTTAGTAAATAACTTTGTCAGTTTGATTAATTATTTATTTCGCTTTAAAAATTATAGAACTTATACAGTATTCAACAATTTTTTATAATTAATAAGTAGGCAATTCATAATACTTTTAAAACAATAGATTAAAATATCTTATAACTTATATTATATAATTTAAATATTCATTGAAACAATTCGTGAGAGTTTAATAGAGGCATAGATTGTGTGGGTAGAGTGAGAAGTAAACTTTTGGCCTGGATGAGTTTTACTTTTCTCACGGCTGCAATTTCCTTTGACTTATTATATCTTACATTAAAAATAAAAATTAAAGGAAATCAAATAACTTTAAGTACTGGTACTTCATTTTATATGTAATAATATTCTTTCAAGTATTGTGTAAACGAGATCAAAGTTTTAAGAGTTTCAAGAATATTATTAAGTAAATTATTTCATAAGTGTTATGACTTTACTATATGTACACTAAATTAGATTTGAGACTCTTGTATAGTTTTGACTTTAAATAAAATAGAAATAAAAATAATACCTTAAAATACATTAATATGTATAATATGTATGTATAATACTACCGGTAATAAAATTCATTCAAAATAAAATTCTTCGATAGGATACGAGAGTTCAATAAATCTGTTGTAAAACCTATGGAACGCACGACCGACCGCTTCGGTTACTTCACGGGTAGAGTCACAGCCTCTGAACACATGACAGGCCAGTCTGTCCTCAATGGGATGTTTGGTAATGAAACCAAAATACCGGTTGTCTTTGGGATAAAAGCCACAAAAAGTGACGTGTTTTAAAGCGAAGAAGTAGTCGTGGTTTAAGACTTTGCTGTTGCTATTAGTGGCGACGGGTTTGTTGTCAGTCATTCTGAGCCCTAAATCACTGATCTCTAGTATAGAGGGTTGGGGTGTATTCATCCCAAAATCAGATGGCTTTGCGTCCAACACCCGACGCACAGATTCACATAAGACTGGATTCCCTTTATGATCGGTCACTTCGACAGAACCCAAGAAGTCCAACGCAAATCTCTCTTTTTTCACTTTAAAGTTCAGGTTTGGTAGGGAATCGTCACCATTAGCTTCGACCACAAACTCCGAATACTCGACGTCTGTGACCAGAGCTGATGGGAAGATGCCTTTGAGACCAGTTCTTAAATTAATGCCTTCGCCCCACATGTCCTCGTTTTCTTTGAGCAAATGGATTGGATCTCCAATTTCTATATCGAGTTCGTCGCTATGTCTGGGAATAAATTTATAGAGACCTCGATGTGTGGCCTCTAATACTTTCAATGATTTCAGTTTTTCGGTTCTCTTTTGTGAGGAAATCCCATTGAGACAAGTGATCGACTCGTCTGTGGGACTCATTGCCGACGAATTGCCAGAATCGCTGCCATATTTATAGGACGAGTCGTCCTCATCTGGTGATTGACTTGTGTTAAGAGTCGGGTCACGAGAGAAGAGTTTCAGTGAAACAGGCTTTCCATCGCTTCCGTCGGTTCTGATTTCCAGAAACATATTCGTCGACACCTGACGTATCAGACATTTCTCTGATTGGGAATAGTATTTGATTTGAGGGTTTGACAGCTCCTCACACAGAGGAATGCCGTTAGTGTTGGACACTATCTGCCAAAGACCTTCAAATGCTATAAATGACCACAAATTAATATTTTTGACAAACATGGAAATATAAATGAAATATAATTCTTACGTTTTTTATCGCTTGGAATTTGAGGCAATTTTCTTCGTTTTCTTTCATTTAAACCTTTTTTATCAGAATTTTCTTTAAAAACACAATTGTTTTCAGTTTTGCAATTCATATCCGTTTTGTTAATTTCTTCTTTTGGTGAGTCAATCAAATCGATGTCAATGTCCGGAACCAGTCTTTAATTATAAGACAACATCGATTAGTCTAACAAATCAATTACTCCTGATAAGTCATTACTATGTAATCAATTCATTCAATACATCAATCAATCAATAATAACAAAAACAAAGAATATTCTGATATATATTCAGTAAATGTGAACAATGGTTGTATTAACGGATTAAATACCTATAACACTGTTGAGGAGCTTTGATATGTTGAGGCATGAGATCAAAGTGTTTGCTGAACTCTTGAAATTGTGGATCAGCCATAGTTTACAAGAAGTAATGGTTGAGAGTGTGTTAACTTATAATTTGCTGTAATGCTGTCCTTGGGTTGGAGTTGAGTTGATTTTCTAATCAAACGATCGGACCATTAAAATACATGCAATTCATTGTTAGCACCGGAAAGAGGGGTCCGATAGATGATCATTAGCCAGGAATATAATGTCTTTCTCGGTTTGTGTCTCTTGTTATGATAGGGAGGGTCTTCTCCAGCCTTTGCCTCACTCTATCCCAGACTGTCCTCAATGTTCTAATAGTAGGCAAACTAAGAGCATTGGAAGTAACGCTTGCGCTAACTCTCACATAATAGGCTGCCTTTGGGCCAATTTGTTGGTCGAAATTTTCACACACTTTGTAAACGTCAGGTAAACCATACAGTGCTCCACCGCTTACAGCATGTTATCACACAATCTCTCATCCAAACACATTCTCCTCTTTTAGAGAAACCTGACTTTCATTTTAATTTAAACTTAATTTATAACTAAGTTCTACACAAAGAGAAACGGCTTCTGGTTGTATGATATAATTGGTCGAGTCTTAAGATTAGGTTTATAAAATCAATACACTGTGAGAAAAGTGATATATTCTTACAAATAAGATTCGCGATTGCAAAAAGTAATTCTACACCTATTTTTAATTGATTTTAATTAAATAAACACAAAATGATTCACATTTCATGATTTATAATACAAATTTTGTATAAATACATAAATTAACATTTCTTGTTTTTTGTGAGAATATTGCATATTATTTGATTTGTTTTATAGATCTATAAAAGATATTATATTATAATAGTAAGCTACATTTAATAACTTTTAGAAGCACAATTTAACTTTATTTTAATTTCAATTAACTTTAATGAAAGCAAAATATT